ACCCTCTTGAAAAGTTCTTTTAAAAGTGCTTCCGTTTAACAGGAGCGCTTAATTAAAGCGTTGGGCCCAGTTAATAGAAAAATGTCCGTGTTCAACAAGTTTTTTTACAGTAGACACGGAAAGAAAAAAATCAGCACTTGAGTTGGTAACAGCCTGTTATGGGTTCCGCTTTAAAAGATTTACACTGGTTTCACTGCTTATTCTTCTTTTTTAAAAAAAATTTGACACGGGCATTTACATTGGACTCATGACGTCAAACAGAAGAATAACATGATTCAGACGCACGGCTTAAATTGCAACCAATAAGGTGGACTGCGTTATTAAATCGAGAAAGAATTGAGTGGTAGAGCGTCGCCTTGTGAAATCCGAAGGTCGGTTGATCTATTGCTCGTGGGGGAATCAGATTTTTTCTTCATCCATGTTCACGTTATCCAGTTTCAATATCTCATATTGTTTGTTGTTCAGAAGCTGAACAAACCCCAGAGTCAACAGCTGCAGGCAGCTCCTGGACTGGCTGGGCTGTCAGCTCCCTAACATCAAAGCTGTACCGAGGAGGAAGTGCCTCGGGAGGAATCACTGAACCTGCAGACAAGAGTGAGCCTGGAAAAGGTACCCACCCAGGTATGTACAAACACTGGCTCGGTTTGTGGCGGCGCTGCTTTCTACTCCACTTCGAACCTCCTCGTCCTACCCTTGAAAGCGGAGATACTGTATAGTTTAGGGATTATCGTATCACTATTTGGTGTGGTGTTGGTCAGCCTCTTTAAGCACCATACCAGTTGAAAAAACTCCGACTGCTCCGGTTATGAGTGAAACCAGGCGCGAAACACAACTTTGATGCCCGATAACTCTGCTTCGAAAACTCACAAGGAGAATTTTGACTCTTTTCTCAGTTGGGGAAACAGATGACAGTAAAATGAGAAAGGAAATTCGTCCAGGTGTGAAACAGGCAACAGGCGGAGATAAAGATGAGGACTCAGGGAGTGACTCTAGTGGCAAGTGGAGTGGGAACGAGTGGAATGGGCGCGATTGGAATGATGGACAGGTTCGGGATATTTTCTTTGTGCTCTTTGTTTCTTAGTTAAAGCCGTGTTAGTTGCGTTGGAAAGTCAACGGCAGGGTAAAGCCACATTAGCATCGTGGAACTGAAAATATGATATCATGTTGCAGGCAAAGCACTTGACCCTCGCAACTACGAGGATATTGGGGAAATAGGTTTTGACTATTGTTACCGGTGATTTTCAGAATTCTTTGCCACCCATTTTACTACCAATGTGAAAATATGAAAGTCATATATTTGAACTGTGGATAAAGACGAAAATTCCCGTACAGGCCTGAATTTTTTTCAGGCCTTATTTTCACTACTGCTCAAGTAGTGTTCATTATTGCGAAGATCTCTTTCATATTCACGTCTTTATCCGCAGTTCAAATATATGACTTTCATATATTCACATTCGTTTATTCACCACTTCACGGGTATATTTGGTACCAACATAATGACCAGCTCCCAGTTGGCTTGTTAGCTCGGTTGGTAGAGCACTGCACTGGTATCGCAGAGGTCATGGGTTCAAATCCCTTACAGGCCTGAACTTTTCAGACCTTATTTTCACTACTACTTAAGTAGTGTTCATTACTGCGAAGATCTCTTTCATATTCACATTTTACTCCTAACGGAGTGAAATACTTTAGGGCCTTTACTCGTTGTATTAGCGGGGTTGAGGGTTTGTTGTCTTTAGAGTTTGCTGAAGTAAGGTAGTGTGCCTCTTTCATGAATATGTTGTTCCTGGGGACTTCTCAGGATAGGTAGATTGTTTGGTTTAATGTCATTGAAGCGTAGTCTGTATTCAGCAATTATTCCTCCTAATGCACTACCTTTGCTTTCAAAAGAAAAAAAATTATCGATAACAAAGGAGTGAGTGAAAAGTGGTTGGAAAATTTTAGGATAGATATGTTAATTACAGTGAGGTCTCTGTGTCCCGGCCGTGTGCCCAGCATTGATATTTTTAATTCACAATACCGTTCTTTGTAGGAACCTGATATGGGCGATCTAAAGAGTGATCTACTAGCTGCGAAAGAGGAAATTGCAGCTTTGCAGAATGCAAAAGAGCTGTCGGTAAGATTCAGTCATAAAATCCGACTTCCGTTCGTTCTTCTACTTCAAATTCTTTTACTTTGTGTCTAGTATCTCAGACGCCCTGCAAATCTTGCGGCGGAAGACGACGGAGCGGAAAGTGGAAGCGACTATGGTGACTGGGGAGAGAATGATGATTGGTCAGTTGACAGTTTTTCTCCGCCATCTTCCTTTACAAGTAAATCCTCCCTGAGTAGACCTGAAAACAAAAAGGTACAGTAATTTTAACACATAAGGTCACCTTCTCATTTCTGTTTATTTATATTGAACTGATTTGTGATTATGATTTGACAGGCTGTTCAGCAAGCAAGAGCAAAATCAACGCTGCAGAAGCCTTCGCGCTTTGATCAAGAAACCTCATTATTAGAAATGCTGGACGAAAATTCCGGTCAGGTGCCAGCTGCAGCCCCCGACTGCGTTGGTGATACGCGTGCTCCAAAGGTAGCCTTAAAAATGGGATAGAGTGATGATCCTTTTCTTTAGAAATTGCTACAGTTTTTTTCTGTAGCGTCTAATTTAGTGGTAAAACATGGGTTTTCTGGTTGATTGGCTGATTAATTGCTTCAGATATGATATTCCCCTTCCTGTCGCCGTTCTCTTCTTCAAAGACGTCAGCGCTTAAAAGTTCCCCTCTCACTAACAGTGGCTTTAGTAGGCCTTAATACTTTGCGAAACATCACACCTCACAATCTATTTTTGCTCTTTGCAGATCAAAAGTAAAGCTGTTCAAAGTGCTTTGAAGTCGTCTCAACGAAGCAAAGCGAAGTGCAATACTGACAACCCTCCTCAGCTTACGGAGGCTGAAGGAGATGCGTGGGATGTAGGAGACTGGGGATCATTTGAAGAACCTACCAGCAGTGCACCTGGTACACAGTCAAATACTAAAAGCGCCCTGGGTGATGAGTGGGGTCAGGGTGAGAAGGATGCGCCGGACTGGAGCCAAGACAAGTCCAGTAAAGCGGAACTCTTGAAAAAGAGGAGAGAGGAAAGGCGGCAGCGACTGCAGGCTCAAAAGGATAAGCGAGCCACAGGAGGGAAAGGACCAATGAAGCTTGGAGCTGTTAAAATGCAGTGAATAGTGATAAGCCACGACCTGTATCTGATGCGGCAACACGATCAGACAGTAGCGGAAGAAATGAATCCTAATGACGATGACAATCATATGACTTCGTTTCTGAAAGATATGGGAAAAAAGTCACCCTCGACGATCCTAGCCTTCCAATGAAGCTTTTTCCCTTGCACCCAATAGACTGTGAAATAAAACTTTGGATTTGACAAAGTTGATATATTTTTTTAATACCATAACCAAAAAGAGGGAGATTTCAAACTTTGGTTCGCTTTTGACATCGACTACTGGTAACAAGAAATTAAATCAATTTTGAAATATAATATATTTATATCAGATTCACGCCATATGGATGGAAGGAGTCTATGATACATCAATAGAAATCATGTCAAAATGTTACCACAGTTGCTGGTCCAAAAGTAACAATGACTGCAGCTGACTGTGGTTTCATTGCTCAAACAATTCATCGGAATAATCGTCTCTTCTGATGAACGTGCATTGTTAGATATAATTAGGAAGCCTTTAGGGCAATTTATTTACGTTATAGAAGGCGATTAAACGATTCAGGGGCAGTTGGTTTTTATAGTAGTTTTTTTGCATACCCTGAATACCAAATAACACAGAACAACTATTCTCACCTAATTACTTACTATGTGTGGAGGCACTAGCAAGTGCCGCACCGACAAAGTATTGAAAATGGTCAGTTAATTAGGGCAAGTCTCACTTTCGACGCGTGAATCCAGACACGTTGTCCAACCTCAAGTGGGGCATCAGCAGAGTTCTTGTCATATTGAAGTTTCATGAACTGTTAATTTCTTGCGATGTTAGGGAGTGAACTGCCTCTATCTGTCGTACGATGCGTGCACGACGCTTATCAACAGAAGTTGACGTTGCATAACAATTATTATTTTCAGTACTTTAAAATCATCTCCAATGTGTAATTGAACTCGAGCGATAGTTTTCATACCGGTCCTACTCCTCTTGAACTAGAATAGACGGCCTTAACTGCACTCTGGCTGATGGTTTTGTCTCTATCTAAGTTGATGATAGCAAGCAGACTTTAATAGGCCCCATTCCTCCTTTCCCCGCCAGAAACATTTGCCATTCGCCAATGCACCCTTCGGGTCAGCCTGTCTTTCCCTTAATGCTCTTGGTCTATATCATTTTCCACTTTATCGGGAATTCTGAAGGATATTGGGAAGCATTGGTCATGAATTGAGGCTAAGTGGCCCTCGAGAAGGGTCTGTTGTCTGAAACTATAAGATGGCCAGTATTTTTATTATATGAAAACCCCAAATGAGAAGTATTTTTCGTTCTTATTCTTTTTATGTGGCTAGAGGTTTGCTGATATGTATGATAAAGTACTTTGATGCCACTCTATCAAGGGTAGATGTTTAGGAAAAATCCCCGTTCCGGCCATCCACGCCAATAGGTCGGAGGTACATGATCGATTATGGGATATAAAACTCCACTAGATACTTGAGACCATGACTCTGTTTTAATAGAAAGGGGAAAAATTACCCTCTCTGAGGTGTAAAATAAGTAAACACAATATTGCCGCGTGTAGGAGTATAATGAGACGCACTCCAGTATGCTTTAACAACAAGTTGACTGATCCTCACTGTGGTAGCACTGAACTAGATCAAATCGTGGAAGTACGGGCCCGAGTTTTGTATTGTATGTTCAATATTTCCCTAATTATCATCCAAAGGCAAGAGTACAGACCAATGCAGCCTGCTTGTTCGTATGACCTATCATCTACTTCCGGCACATAGTAGCGAGCGAAACCTGGGTACCATATTGCTCAAACCTGTTTCGATGTGGGCAAATGGCCGCGTCGTGGCGGTCGGCACTCATCAGAAAGACTAAGGTGAGCATAACACTGATGTGGATATCCAATATCCGTGTAAGACGGATTCGAGGTTGCTCTAAGTTAGCTGTTTTTTAGATAAGCGTCAGCCCTCAGGGCCAAGTAAACGGAAGTAAACTATTCAGTTTCGTCGCATAACGAAACGTATTTTGTACGTTTCTTTACCAGCAATCTTTCAAGCTGAATTAGCTCCTAGTACTTGGTTTTAACATGTGCTACCATTTGAACATAGAGACTTGAAAAAAACCTTCTTGGCAAGATCTTCGCACAGCCCCATACTTCATTTTGAATACAATTCTTACGTAAGGAAAACAATGGCGAAAACAATAGATAGCCTTCGTGACTAGGACTTTGTTTACATTAGTAGGATGTTTGAACAGAAGTCTTTCCACTTCCTATATTGGCGGATGCAATTGGACAGCTTTTCCATAAGTATTGATGCTCAAAACCGTTTAATAAATAGTATCTGAAGTCATAGGGAAATATTGAAGCCAGTCATGTAGGTGATACTTAAATGAAATGTCTAAAGTAAATTTCAATGGTCAAATTTAATTTTCTTACAAGAAAAAGTAAACAGGACCTTACTGTAGAATTAAAGTGGATTCTCTTGAAAATAAGATATAAAGATGTAAAGATCACAGCCCCAGAATTTTAAAGAGCTCCTTTCAATCCTGTGTTCCTATTGGCTGTTTTCTCGCTCAGCATTGCCCATTTTGATCACATAAACAAGTTCCTTAAATGTGATTGAAATATCTGGGGAACTCTGCCTGTTACAAGAGTTCTTTTTCCAAGGGTTTTACAGAAATGGAATCCTAAAGCATATTTTGAGGTCAGCTAAGACATGTCAGTCAAGAAACATCAATCCCAAGTTTTTTTACTGTATTTGGAAGGTCTTTATCACTATTTTGTTTGTTTTCTTGTTTGTTAGTAAATCCTTTGTTGATCAAGATTGTTTGATCATGATAGCTGGATAAAAAAAAAGGACAAGATTGCATGCAACAATCTTTGAAAGGCAATGTGGATATCCTGTAATTAATGAATTTTAATTAGACAAATAAATGAGTTTATTTATCGAACCCACTCTATGTCATGTTTACAATGAAGTTTTTGCAGATTTCCTTGAAATCCTGAGGTCAAGGAACTGTGACTTGAAAACAACCCACAACACGTTTCGGGGTGGTAGCATGCATTTTCAGGCTTTTTTTTCTGAAACCTTTCTTGAAACATCTGTATACTTATGAAGCCATCCTATTGGCATGTTGATTGAACTGTCATAAAGTGTCCTCCACTTCCCTGCAGGGTCATTGCAGAACCAGCCAGGGAAGTGTGTGAGGAAATTCAGCTATAGGATAAAGAATTCCTTCCTGATTATAGGCTTAAATCTTGACTTTTTTTTACATTTGAAGATTTTTGGCCATGAATGTTCACAACTTTGTCAAATAATGGAAGGTAACCATGTTGATATCATGGAAATTTGACTAAACCTTGCTCTTAGCTATGTTCACGGTTATAGTGATGTTTATTGGGCTTTCACCTAGTTGGAGCTTGCTCTGTCGTGACTGTCCCTCACTGAGTTTTTCTCTTCATTATTGTTATTTTTGGTTTTTTTTCTTCTTCTTCTTTTACCAATTTACATTAACTGTCATCTAACTATTATTTATCATATTTATGTTATGTACTCAGTGAAAGTTGAATAAATAAATAAATAGATGTTCAAGATTATTTTTCTCCATTGACAGAAAAAAGCAAATTCTTGTGTTAAAGATGTTGAGCAGGTGTTGAAGTATTTTCATGGTCTTAGGCCAGGAATACAAGAATATAGTAAGTTTACACATTTCACATCCAAGATCTACAAGTCTACTCATACCATTGTTATGATAGAGTCTGGTCATGACAATTTGTGAGTTATAGTTTGTTTTAAATGAAAAATCTCACTAAGATTGACAAAGGCCTGGTTTTCAGCTTTGTTTATGTATTGCTCAATGCTAACTGTCTATTAAGAAGTAGTACTAAATCGCCTCACAGACCTTTCAGGATTCCTGCCCTATTTTCTAGGAATCTGGCCATTCAAAAATTCTACTTCTCACTGTAAGCACATTGCATGTTGAAACTTAATATAGCTGCAGTGGAGAGTAGCCTGGTAAGGAAAGTTATCCTGGAATTAAACTGTGGTCTACATTTTAATGATCCAACAATTGTCCTTTACTTTTTACATCATTTAAAAATCTGTAACTTGTGTTTATTACTAAAAGCGTATGAAAATGGAAGACAAACAGAGTTATTTGCCATGGAGGGGACAATTCCCATCAAAATAAAAGGTAAACAACATAATCTCTGAATTATCTTTCATCTCACCTCAAGTTTGGTTTTGGTGGCTTCTTAATCTCATGTTAATAACAGACCAAGACAGTTGGACAAAGCAACAAAATTATACTAAATAATTTAAGTTTTGTATTATCTATTAACCTGTAACAAATAAATCAGTTCTTAAGTAATCAACATACCTAATTATGCAGTTATTAATTTTTTATTGTCTCGTTTACTTCTTATTTTAGTTAATGGTAAATTTATGGTTATTCTTCATCTTGCAAATCAGAATCTCTGTTTATCTTGCATTATACTTTCCATTCCCACAGTTCCTTATTATTAACAATAATGACGAGTATAGAAGTGTTGGTGCTGGAAAAGAAATTTAAAGTAAATGTTAAATTGTAGACAAGCAAATCCTGTGGGACAACAAAATTGTATTAATTTTTTTTCTGAAATAATCACACTATCAGCCAAAAGCAGATTGATGTCAAAGTTCTGTTGCAGGTGTTACTTACAATATTCCAGTTTGTGTTCTGCTACAAGAGGGTCATCCTGAAGTTGTGCCTCTGGTGTATGTCAGACCAACAAGCTCAATGGCAATCAAAGTTTCACCTTATGTTGATGCAAATGGCAAAGTTTATCATCCCTACCTTCATAAATGGAATTATGTATGTAAAAAATTGTACTACTAAAAAACAAAGAGAGTAGTGGTATAATATAAAGGTTTCTCGAGGCATTAAATATTCTGACACCATTTACCAAATTTGGAAAGAGTAATAAATATTCTTACAACATCTATGTACATGAAATGATATCAATAGTTCAAAAAGGAAAACAGATAAGATTCAGTTTCTTGCCAACTGAGTTCATGCTTGGAAACCACCAGATCAAAAAGATTATTCAATGGTAATTACAGGGTCTCTCTACTCTTGCCCTCTTCCTCCACTTCAAAAACCCCACCACCTTCACTGTTAAGGCAAGAGAAGGGAGATGTTGAAAAGGAAGATAAACATTGATCTCAAGATGTTGTACAGAGTAACATTTAAATTAAAACTGATGTCACATTGGAGCAACATCTGGCCATCTAGGCTTTGGCAGAGATTTTTGATGTAATTTATGACCACTGAAAAGCTGACAACACATTACCACAGATGAACATTGAATTGTCAAGGATGGATGTAGGATTCCACCCTTGATTGTGCAATCTGGTCATAGTTCACCAAGTAATTTCTGCTTTTCATACTACTTTAATTTTTTTTCAGAAATCAAGTAATATCAATACATTACTTCAAGAACTGTGTAGAATTTTTACACAGAATCCACCAGTATATACAATCTCAAGGGGACCTAGCAATTCAATCTCCCAACAATCTCAGGGTAACGGTCATCAAGATGCCAGGCCATCAGGGTCCTTGTGTCAGGATCCCCCAGCTCAAGGCTCCAAAAGTGATGGTGGGTTCTTTATTTGTTAGCATTTGCAGTAATTAACCAATAGAGGAGCCTTGACCCTGCTTGGTGCTGTAGTAAAGTACTTAGGAAGTGGCTAGAGCATGAAAGAAGTGTAGGGAGAAACACAAGGTTTCTCAATTTGTTTTATATTAGAGAATCTGTTAAATTCCACACACATTACTTTCAATTTTCAGAACAAACTTAATTTCCAAAGCAAACAACAGTGTCATCAGCGTGCTCTATACTTTCATAAAGCACACCACAGTAAGCCAATCAGAATACTTATTAGAATAGTATAAATAATGTGATTGATTGAACAAGACTAAAGCTCTCAAAATTGTCAAACCATCAAAGTTTGCGATGTCCAATTGTTCACAAACTGAAATAGTTTGATGGTTGAAATTGACACTTTTGTGTTAAGTTTTTTTGTTGTCTTGCAGAATCCGAAAGTGAAATGTTCAATAAAATCTGGCCAAATTGTGGCTCATAAAAACACAAGTTTTTTTACATGATAATAAGTAAACAAACTGCTCAGGATATTTTATGAATAAACAAAAGATGAAAAGATTTTTCGGGAATTTCACTTTCAATTACCAAAAAAAGCTAGAGAGAGAAGTCTCGGAAATGGTTGGACAATTAGTACAAATTGGCATGCTGTTTCATCAATGACATGGTGCATTTCATCTGATCTGAACATGCAAATTTAGATATGTTGACCTTCCTGTAGTCTCAATCAAGAGCTTCCTCAATTGGTGATCTTTTCTTTTATTCTCATAACCTTAGCGTGTGATTCAGGGGTGATATTGTGAGGGGAAAGTAGATGCTAGTCACTCTTAGGGGTCAAAGGGTTAACAGAAGCTAAGACCATATAATCAAAACTTACTTATAAAACATCAGCCTTTGTATTAATTTATCATCATGTTGCAACAGGCCTTCTTGTTTCGGTGACACAAGGGTAATTGTTTTGGCTGCATTATTGTCCACCACACAGTTAAATTACAGCCTCAGGTGACATTGAATATCATGATAGTTTACCAAGGGTAAATAAATAAATACCACAGAGATGAAAAGTGCTTTTTATACAAGCTGATTGGCTAGTGTGGAAATGATTTGCAAGCACCATTCACCTCCAATCAGTGAAAGAGACAAAATCAAGACATAAGAGTTATATTTCAACCACTTTTTGGTATTTTGACTGAAGAAACTACTTATTTTTTTTAAATTTCTGTGTGGTATATGCTATTAGCTATTATAGTCATTCACCCCTTTGTCAGTAAAATTGTTGAATATTACCTTGATTTATCTTGTTGCTCTGCTGCTTTGTAACTATCCACCACTATTTACCTCCTCTTTGGTAAATATTTGTTAATTATTACACTAGTTAGATTAGTGTGCAGGTAATTTTCAACCTATTACTGTGGAGAATGATTAGTGATTAACATCTCCTTATCATTGTAATACAGCTGACAAACAGGCATGTGATGAGAATTGATTGAGTTATCAACTGAGTGATATTGTTTTAACCAGAACTAACTTGTGGACAAATGGATACCAGTAGCAATTAGTGGGAGAATTTTGTAGCTTAAAACAGTTGGAGTTTGTCTAGACTTGGTTTGACTGTGAATAATTGAAATTTAATAATATTTTTTTAATAAATTATGCTTACTTTTACAGAAAGCAAAAAGGAGTGTATTATATGTATGAGTAAGGAACCAAACAGTGTGCTGATTCCATGTGGCCACCTGGGATTGTGCATGGCTTGTGCCAGAGAGATACAGAGGAACTCCAAACAATGCCCAGTCTGCAGAAGTGTAATTGATCAAGTTCATCAAGTCTATGAATCCTAGACATATCTGAAAATAGAGTTATTTTGGGTTTTTTTGTTACATAGTTCATGTTTGAATGCTTACCTTACTGTCACAGGCTTCATTTTGAAACAATTTTAAAACAGATGTATTAGATCAGATACAAACAAGAATCTTGTTATGTTCCCCTCGTCAAATTAGTATATCTGTAAGTTTACTAAAAATGTAAAGAAAAACAATTTTAATTATGGCTTCCATTGGACACATAGATCTATTTAACAGTAATCACTTACGCATTTTACTGAAATAGGAAGGAAAAATGGAAGTCAGTTTGTGATCACTGTCATCTTCAAAAATTATTTAAGATGGGGATCAGCTAAGAATGACAGAGAGCTAGATTAAGCTAAATGAATTAAATTAGAAGTCATTCAATAATTGAATAGTCTTTTTTTATGAAAGAGATGATTTAGGTGAACTATATGTGATTAACCAACTGGAAAAATTTTTTAAATCTTTCTTATTCCCTTGTAAAGTATGCACAAATTTTATCCCCATCAGCAAAAGAAAGTCATTTACTAGAGAGTTTCTGATTGTTTCTTTTTCATTTTTTCCCCATCTCCATTTAAAATCCTTATTAGCCAACCAACTCCTTAAGTGTTTCTTCTGTCAATAGCTGTGTATTGACATAATTTTATTTCTAGTAATATTTGTCTATTTTATGTGAGGCACTGTTCATCAACATGCTCATATTAAAATGCAATAAGGAAGCAAGCAAGCAAGCTTAATCTGGGATAAGGATGGGTGTGCTTATCATAAGAAATTTGAATTTCTTTAAAAGGTAACATGTGATAGAGATAGAGTTTTCTCCATTGTTTATTATTATTTTTCAATGGACAGAAATTTTTGTTTGCACCTTAATAATATTATTACTGTTAATAATATTATTATTAACATTACTGCGAGGATCACTTTCATTCACGTCTTTATCTGCAGTTCAAATATATGACTTTCATATATTCTTAACTGTTTAATATTTTTTTGTGTTGTCTAGTGTTAGTGGCTTATCTTGAATGTTTGCTTAATGTTGAGGGATCAAGAGTAAGAACAATTTATTAAATATTGATCATAAACCAAGAATGTTTGGTTAAGATTGCTGGATATTAGACTAGTATTTTTTATTATTATTTTGTTATCTCTTTTTTATGGAGACTGACTTGGTATCAAGGCCAATATCAAGCTAGATCAAACAAAGTATTTGTAACATAAGCTAAAGATTATATCACAGAATTTAGCTTTCAAAAAATCATAGCTGGCAGTTCCAAGCTGGCAAAAATTCAGGTGGCCAATCAGGACAAAGGATTCTTTTTATTTTCTCTCTCCTTAGAGTCACAAATAGAATGAACAAATTGAGGTTATTTTATAACTAACTTGATTTAAGAATTATTGTAGAATACAGAAGTAATGGAGCCATAAGCTCCTTAAAGTAATATTTCTGTCCTTACATAGAATTAAAAGAAACGTTTTCTCTGTGCTATTATCTATTTCCAGTTTGTGATATGGAGTGCCTCACAAAGATCATTTGAATACTGTATGTGATCGAGAATGGAACACTTCACATTGCAATACCAATATCAATTTGTCATGGAGTTCAAAATAACGCTTTTCGCCATGTCCATGAAATGAACTGGATGTATTTATGCACTTATTTTTTACAGACTGGCCCACAATTGATTTTGTTTGAAAATGAAATTTACGCACTACCAAGTAATTTAGTATTGATCTCAGTTCAAAGAAAACGACTGCGGTTTATATATCATAGTCTAAACAGTCAAGTAATCTAAGGGTAGGGCAAAAAGAACGCTATCGAAAAAGATTGAAAATTAAGTAAAATTTGCAAAAGTTCGTCGGAAACAATTTAGACCTTTCTTACGTGCTTTCGCAAAGAAGTTTGTCGAATGTTATTTTTTAATCGTTCTTCATTCTTCTTCTTGAATCTTTCAATCTCTTCCTTGTCCCTTCGGAAGTACATTTCTCAGCATGAGGACATTTGGATTTAGGATTGAATATCGTCGAATTTGTAAAAAGTTTGGTCAAGTTGCAGGGCTAGAAAATAGACTTTTACACTAGTAAAATATTGCACATCGCCTCGAGGGAAAAATTTAATTGGATTCACTATCTAATGTAAAGCCCAAAAAGGAATGATGGAAAATAACTCAGGTTTGGTAAATTACCTAATATTTTCGTTACAATATAATTTTGGTTTAATCAACTGAGTTGACAATGTAAATTGGCCACCGTAAAGTGATTCAAGGCTGACGTTTCGAGCGTTAACCCTTCGTCAGAGCGAAAAATGCTCGGTTTACATTATCAACTCAGTTGATAAACCAAAAATAATCTTGTCACACTCCCCCACCGACGCAGCACCACAGTTTCTTTAGAAACTTACCTCACTAAATACTGTATTAAATTTGGAATTATACGCCTTACTCTCGTGGGGATTTATATTCCCCTCTCTTATGTCTCCTACGGGAATTTCTCAAGCTAAATTAAGTGAAAAGTTGAGTTAATCAATCTTGAGACCAAGTAACCGCGAAACTTACTCGAATGTTCATGAACTATTGGCAATAAACATACAGCGAACAAATCAGCACTTACAATACAAAAACCGTCATGATATGTCTAGGAACTGTTTATTAATAAGTAGTTAATTGTATCGTAAGATTCTTGTAATTGATAATCACTTTCATGTTGGCTGAAAGTCCAAAGAATGAAGCATAAGTATTACTGGTCTAGCTTGAGGAAATCGCTTCAGAAGCCTTTATAATAAAAATATAAGATTCCCCATATATCCCTAAATTACAATAATAAGAATATAATTGCACTTCGCACGTGGTGATCCATCTTTTGGTGGCTAATAACCGTTTTTTGCCGGCAATATTTAATTCAATTAGAACCAAGACATTTTATGTGAGAATTCCCCGAGTTGTTGAAACAGCCATTGCTATGTCAATATTAATGTATGGTAATCTAGGAATCCTTGATTAGATTTTGAAGATTATCCCGCCTAGAATAGCACTAGCTATCTGCGGGCTGGGGAGGGGAGGGCTTTTTCTAGATAGTCCAGTAACTGAACGGGACCGAAGCCATAGAATCAGAAGTTAAAGAATTGCGAGGCAGGTTCTTGCACCTTAGCCAATCGTTCTTGTTTCTTTATATGAAAGTTTTATATTTTAATTTAACCCTCTAAACCCCCATCTTAAATGAAAACAGAGCAGCTTTACGGGCCCGCTAAGTTACTAGGATCTTCGAGAAACGGGCCTCAGACTAGCTGCTTATTTTAAGATTGAAAGTTGTCGATATTGTTGATATTGCTGTGATGTGTTTCATAACCAGTTTTTGGTCACAAATTTCTCATAATTCTTTAACTAGGAGAGTCTCAGTCGTAAAACCTTGTCAGGCCTATAAAGGAAGATACTTTCTGATTGTTTCAACAACAAAGAACAAAGTAGCATTTGCTGGAATGGATCGCATTAAACACGGGGTAAAGCCTCTGTAGAATCGCCTCCATCCTCCTTCATCGTTATAAAGTTTTTTTACACAGTCCCTAATGCTTTTAAATCGTCTTTTCTCCAACACAGAATCATCGGCTTGCATAGTAGACTTGATAACATCCGTAGGGTATGTAAGGAACCAATATAGAAATCCCCCGGTTCCCCCAGAGGCAAGTAATGCCATGGGGGATAAGTCAAATACCGTACCTCCCTCGGGTATCGACAGAGTGCGACATAATTCATAGAAACCTGGAAGAATAAGAAGACAATCATAGGTTTGTCATATGAAAGCTAAGTTAGTGAGCAACACTGCAAATTACAGCTTTAAAACGCTGTAAACATACTTCAACATGTTTCTTCTGTTTCTTCTAATTAAGGCAGACTTTCTGATCATGGTATGTAGACAGACTCCTTGTGTTGTAGTGCCACCACGACGCCCTGCAGAAGTCTGCGTTAGTCAAACAATACGCACTGGACTTCACAGTGTTTCTCACTAGTTTTTCTTTCAAGGAAAAAAATTTCAAAGAAGCACTTATTCGTTCGCAAAATCTGTGGATCAATACTAAGTTTCGGGTTTGATTAGCTCAGGTTTAAAATTGAACCCTATGCCATAGATAAACTAATTCGAGGTTTTGTTTAAACTCACCAAAGAAAGCTGAATTAGCTGGAATATTCCTTAGCCACGTAGCAGGCAGACCTTGGTAAGCTCCTCGGATTCCATGTTTTTTTACAATAACATAAGCTGCATGGAACACATTCCTATACATGACTGACTCTCCAGATTTCGCTCGTATTATTTGGATTTGCATCTTTGACTTGAACTAAAGAACACCAAACAGTGTATTTTGTTAGATATTTCAAAGTAACAAATTGAACTCTAACGTTTTGTCAGCACTGAAAGCAATGACTGTATGATTTTACACTCCTTTTAAACTAGTTTGTGGACTTCCCTGTAACCTCTACTTCAAAATCAGTTTAGCAGTTAAAGAAGTCTGGACATGAGGTTACCTAGGTACATTGGATTGAATTTGATGAGAAGACTAAAATGTTAGTAGTGGAAGGAGGTAGGTTCACCCTTGGCCTTTACTAGCTCATCCTCAGAAGCATCGCTCAACCTTATTTTACACAAGGACTAGGACTAACTAATGCAACAGGAATCCAAAGAAAAATATTGATTTCATACCAGTCTAATGAACTTTGAATTATATCCAAATTTTTAAAGGAACTCTTAATGTTATTTCATTTTCAATATAAAACATGAGGCGGCTTGAATGTATGGAGAAAGAAATGCACTCAAGGATTTGTGAAACTCTCTGGAATTCTCCCATCCCAAACCTGTCATACAAACAGGAGCAGATATAGAAAATCCAGAAAGCAAGGGCTAAAGAAATTGTAGTGATAGCATAGTTTGTGACTTTTGTTCCTTCAACGAGATTGTCACCAGAGGAAGCATCTTGCCACACCAGAGGGCACATAAGGTGAGTTGAGTCTCTCATGATGGCAGGACCATGTAGTAGATTGACCACATCTAAACATCAAGTTCACAACAATGTCATTATTCGATGTCAGAGAAAACAGAGGGGTCAGTGTTGCTCCACAATACCATCACCCTGAAGCTGAAGAGCGATATTAACATAAAGAAAATAAGCTACAAATATGCCATAAGGATGATGAGGTATATTCCTATGTGTAAGTGGGACAGGACATGACAACTAAAGGAGATCTTTCAAGACATGCTAGGAAAGAAAGTGCAAACAGCATAAGACTTTGAATACAACAAAAGCCAGGTGAAGGAGACACTGCACCACAGCAGAAAAATAGAGGCTGTATCTGATACATTGACACCAACAAGGAGGTTCAGTGACACATCAGGAACAACCAAATGAACTTTGTGGAAGGGGGAAAAAAAGGCTACATTCCATCACAAGAACACTGGCAGGTGCTAGAAAGATTGATGACAGACCTATCAGAGGCAAAAGCAGACAGTTGGTCACTGATCAAGAAGAGTATGAAAAAGTTGGGCAGAGCCCTTAAGGGATCTACCCGCTAAGTGAGATACTTTGCAGGTCAGTTGGTACAGGCTATGTGCAGCAGAGATCTAGAGGGCCATCAAGCATCTAAAGAATGGAAAGGTAGCTGGTCTCAACGGTGGGACTTTCAAAGAAAGAGGAGTCAAGGTTGTCCCTAAGTATGGGCAATGGGTTGAGTAAGGCTGGACAGACCAATAGGCAGCAAAAATTCCATGAACCTATGCTCCACTGAGAAAAGAAGGGATTCAGTTAGGTCATCTTAAAATAAAAAAGCAAGATGTTTTATAAATAACTCACATCTGACCATCTGAGTGAATATCTGAAAATCAAACAATTAACCTGCAAAATATCAGTTTCAATAATTACCCTGTTAGATCATCCCACTCGCTTTGATAACTTAAAGAGTTGTTAAATAATAATAGAATAAATTTAGGTCAGAACAGGACTTTAAATTTATATTTAATTATTTTTGGATATTGGTGCACTGCCTTTACCAACTGTGCTATGAAGGTCAACTAAACTGTAAGGTAGTCATTATGTGAGTTTGTCATTCACCTGTAAAGGATAAAAACAATGTATATAGAATATACAAAACCCATTAATTTCAAGCACTATATGATGCTTCCACCAAATGAAAGATCATCCCAAATAAGGCCTCAGAGAAAAAAAAGCAATATCATTATGTAAAATTAACAAATTGTGGTTGCCATTTAGTTATTTTCATTGAGTTTGGAGATTAATTATCACTAAGTTTCCAAAGCTGAATCTAGTTTTAATGAGAAATAAACACTCACCAAATCAATAGGTCCTTCAACCAAAGCAGCAACAGCACCTGTAAACATACCACATAGAAAGTACTCTGGAACTGTGAGGCGCTGACCAAGACGATCTTTTCCAGCAAAAAATGCAGTTATCTGTGGAGTAAAAAAAAAAGTCATCTTAAATATCAATAAATTGGACTGGTGAATTTTTTTTCACTATGTGTGCTACATGTGCCTTATACAGATAAAAAATATCTTACAATAGTCATTATTTCCTGTCTCTGTAAAGCAGTGGTAGATAGCAAAAAGCAACCTTTCTAATCTACAACTTTCTTCAAGGTGTTCATTCAAAGGATGGATCTTTTCTCGTCCACACTTTTTAAAACACTTTTGAGAGACTGCAGCCACAAGCGTTTGAAGTTAGCATATAATCAAAGAGCCAAGTAACACACTACTATTACTGCCAGTATATGGCATTACATTCTTTGACTTCAAATTGTTCAAGTCAAGATGCTGTTTGAAGTTTCTTGATGACCAAAAAAACTTTATCAGAAATCCATTGTGCTGACAAACATTTCACTCTGTAAGAATCAATGGAAAGAAGGTCCAGCTTCACTTTCTCTTAATTAAAGCTATTTCCAGAGTGCAAGACTGTACAAACCCTTTTATTATTCTCTCTTTTTTTAAAAATAGAGTAGCACTTGTATAGACACATAATGTAGCAATGCATAATAAATTTCATTACTAATTTGTTCCACTTGCCTGATAATAGGATGTAAAGAGAGTTGCTCTGAAAAACATCTGACCCACAATGGGTGAGCCTGGAGAGAAAACAGTGATTTGAAGCATGATTATTCAACAAATGAATATGTTTTAAAAATTAATTTGACTTGCGTTCTGGTAAAAACTATAAAAATATAGTGTAATCAGTCACTGAAAAAAAGGATCAAAGATCCTCCTTTTAAAAACCATTGGTGGATAAACACTTATCACTTCAGTTCTAGAGGGTTGTAATCTGAAAGTATAATGGGACAGTTGGTTGAAATTGGGCACCTGTAATAAGACAGTTACTGGTCATCCTGCTTTGTAGTTGTCCAAATTTGATAATTGCTTGTAATTGGTAATAAGAATGAGCGGAGTTCAATTTCGTCTGCAATCATTCAAGTGATTAGCAAAACTGAAAGACTGTGAAGTAGGAGTCCAATAAGTTAATCATGAGTATGAAACTGTGGTTTCTTTTAAAGTTGTTAGGCTTATGTTCCCTCGGTATTTTGCGGTAGGAATAGATTCAAGTTCCTTAAATACCGGTAAATCTAAATATAGCATAGATCTCTTCACCCTTGCAAAACTTGGGACATATGAAAAAAGTTTATTGAGACACTGGACAAAAAGCAAAACACATAGACTTCTCACCAACTCCTTTGTACAGTCCTCCAATTCCTTCCCATTTCATGGTTTTCACAAAACAATCCAAAAGTCCTTTGTACACCGGTTTGTCAACGGGTTGTGTTTGGAGACGAACCTTGAGGGTATCGAATGGATGACCAACGAGGCAAACAGCTATACCACTAAATGTTCCAGAAACTAAGTTTTTTACAGTTCTTCTCACAAACGATTGTTCGCCGGCCGGTATAGCCTCCAAGCTTTCTCTCTTTCTTATCCCGGAATTCGCCATGTTAATTCGTCACGTCACCAATGAAATCGTCTTACTAAACCAAGTCACGTCACGTCGAGTTTATCTTTTTGTTGAGGGTAGTGGGTCGGGGGTTTCATGTCGAGGGCGATACCTTTTTTTCCCTTTTTTTTTTTTTTTTTTTTTAATTAATAAAAAAAAATTAAACCAAATTTAACTAAAATAATTAAAATAATTAAAGAAAAAAAATTTCAAGGTACGGATTGCACATGGACATTAGATCTTTGTATGCGTGGACGTCGGCTTAAAAGATAGCGATGTATACACCTAAAGAACCACTTTCCGTCGCGTTGTAGTTGTTGGATCTTGACGGTTGGAGTACACTCCATTTTGTAAAGCCAGTTATAAAAACATTGTGCTTTTCTTTTTTCGTGGATTCGAAGAGGAATCCATGTTCTCGAATCGAACAAAAACACTGGCACAACCAGACATAAAGGAGCTGTACTTGCAATATGGGAAAGTGCAAATATCGATTTTATCTGTTTTATAAACAAAGAAGTTAATCACCGACACCGGAAATCGCGACCAGGTGGTCTTAGGTTTGTTTTCGAATTTTAGTGCCCAGGCCGATGCCAATCACTTCTTGCGTAAAAATCTACAAAACTTGCGAAGTGGAACTATAGTGGCTACTGTTGCTTGCCGATATTTTCCGTCGGCAAAACGAGAAGTCAGTAAATGTGACCGATTCTGCAAGGGGAATTTTATTGTCTGGAGCTTGGACATTTCAGGAGAGTTTCCTTGACAGCTGGATTACACTCCATGTTGTGAAACCATTTATAAAGACATCGCGCTTTTTCTTCGCATTTTTTTTTCACATTTCTTCGCTTCGTGATGTTACAGTATCACGGGAAATCTAACCAGATTTATGCTCGAATATGAGCTCTCGGTGGGTTCTTAATTTAATTATTTGAAAACTAATCAGGTTTTGAAAAACGAACTGGGATGTCCATGTGCTTTTCACCATCTCACTCCTCCCCCACTCGTTATTTTTTGGGGCGATGTCTACGTATAAAAAGATCTAATGTCCACATGCAATACGTATCTTGAAATTTTTTTCTTTTATTACTTTAGTCAAATTTGGTTTAATTTTTCTTTAGTGATTAAAAAAAAAGAAATGGGAAAAAAGGTACCCTCGACCCTCGACATTGTACCAACGCCCATGAAACCCCCGACCCTCTAGACATACGAAGACATGCACATCCCTCGACGTTGCGTGACTCCTAATATGAAAAGTAGAGCAAGGAGAACAAATTGAAAGCAAAATCAGCCATGCATTAAAGCTAAAATTGTTTTAGTCCTCCAGCGGCACAAAGAAAAAAAACTATTGTCTGTTACGCATAGGATGCAAATCCACCGGTGACGAAATCTGGCGCTGAGTAAATCTTGTTTCCAGATTCTTCTCTTACGAGGGTAACTTAAGTGGCCGATCATCTGATCGGCCAATCATGACGTTCCTCACATGGTTACGAAAAACAACGGCGGGAAAGTCGGCTGATAGCATGGCGGACCGTGCGTTAACGCAGTTTCCTTTCACAATTTCGTTTGAACAACGGTTCAACTGCCTCATCTGCTGGGCTCCGAACCTTAGGATGATTTATGGATCTTGTCAGCATCGTTTGTGTGAGAATTGCTTATACGACAAACTAGGTAACAGGAAAGTCGGGCTTGAAAGATGTCCTACCTGCCAACGAGAGAATACCTTCCCGCTGACAAAACCAGATATACCCGAGGATAATGTTGAAATTCAAGCTCATCTAGGAGTGAGAAAGTGTCCAAATGGTCGTTGTGACTTGCAGATGTGGCACTGGGAGATACCCGATCATTTAGAGTGAGTTTCCTTGCTTTTTAACTTCCGTGACTGTATGTCAACACGCCAGATTATTCGTTTCGCAATCTTCCACATCATGAGCAGGGCCAGGGTTAGTGTGAAATTTGATTTCAGATCTGAAAAACTCAGTTTTAATCTTTTTGACGATCAATTTGATGATTGGATGTTCTAAAAAGGCAGGAATTTTTTGCTCAAAGAGGCTTTTGAGCAGATAAATAAAGAAACGTAGATTGAATTAGTCGCTAACCGGCCTTCGAACAACAGCCCAGATGAATAGGAGGGTCGATCCTTCATCGCTGGTTCAAATTCAAGCGTAAACAGAACAATAATACTGTCTTTGAATCGTAAGTAAATCGAAGTGGGTTTTGGTCTAGTTTCACTTACAAAGGCCTCAGAAATACGTCCGTTTTACTCTCTAGCTCGAAGTACAGCTGCTGTAATGATGTTTTTACGTTCACGTTCTTTCTTTACTTTTCATCGTGAGTTAATATTTTCGTCTTAACTATTTATGGGTTGGTACGATCAGAGCATCTCATTTCCTAGAAACGAAGGAACCTTATGAAAGCCTTTGTTAAGGTAGGGTACCTTCCCTGTATGCAGAAGCCTCATCCCATAACTTCGCCATTTGTAGTCCTAGGCCCTGATTACTGACTTTTGAAATTTTAGCAAAAATACCGAAAAACAAGAGATCATCGCATTAGATTACACTCGTTATATCATTATTTTAAAGATGGAGATTGCCTTTATTGGCATCTTTTGACTCTGGATTTCCTATTCTTCAATTGGTTTGGGGTCTCATTTGAGGTAAAGGGTTTGGAAATCACTTATATCTTTTTCATAGGAAGACTTAAAACCCATTGTTTCACTTCTTTTTTACCCATGCACTCCACTCAAATAAATAATGAAGGAAACCCCAAGGGCTACATGTAGTGTTCATATGCTGGGAAAATCGCACACAATCAGCAATTTCAATGTTTCCCTTTGGTCCCAGATTTTGCCTATATTCATTTAGGAGATCACCAGACTTTTGTCTTTGTGGACCGCAGGAACCTTTTATTTATGAGTGGAGCCGAGCAATAAGAGGTAATTTAGTGTTAACAACTGAGTTGAAAACATAAATTAGCCACCGTAAAGGATAAAAAAGCTGATGTTTCGAGTGTTAGCCCTTCATCAATCGCTCTGACGAGGGGCTAATGCTCGAAACATCAGCTTTTTTACCCTTTACAGTGGCTAATTTATGTTTTAAATTCAGTTGTTAACACTAAATTACCTGCTATACTCTCCCACCAATGCAGCACCACAGTTTCTTTAGAAACTTACCTCATTATTCATCAAGCAATAAGAGGATTGGTAGTGAGCTCAAACTATCACCAAAGTCTGAGACAGTAAAAGTAGGAGTTTTCATATATCTCCAGTGATCACTGATCATCGCAGAAATCTCAGACATGTTTTTCAGAGGGATTTACAAAAAGATGACTTAACATAACTGTTGACTTAAGAATATTTTTGGGAACCCACTAGCCACAACTTACTGTTTAAAGGTATACAAATTTGTCAATACTGGTATGTTCCTTACTTTTATAGTATGACCTAACCTTTGTCGCAGTTGCCATTGGTCTTTTTAACCCTTTAAGATCTAATAGTTAATTCTCCCCTTTGCTGCTATAAATTTCCCTGTAACAAACATTTGGTGTTCAATCAAGTAATAACTTCTATTTGATAAGTTTGAGCATTCTTGTTACCTGTTTGTCGAACAGTGTATAGATATTATAAGGAGAAGTTACATGTTCATTACTTCTGGGAGTTAAATGGTTCAGCAGACTGTTATGTAGCCATTTGGTACAAAAGTAAGCAAATGATAAGGTTAGATATGACCTGCTATGTTTCCAGGAGCAGGTGTACATAAATATTGGGTCTCCTGCCTTGCAGCTTTCTATTTGATCTTTTCTACAAGTTTGTAGTTCTGACTATTTTTCTCTTGTGTTGCAGAATATGTCAGGTTGTTCCCAAGTCTCAGTCTATACAAAAGAAAAGAAAAGGTGCTGATGGTTCAAACAATGTGTTTGAAAGAAAGACCCCCATGGCACTGAGAAGTCGTAAAAGTAAATCACCCAACCTTTTTTCTGATAAAAGACTGATTCGAAGGAAGACAAGATCTGGTTGCAGAAGAAACATTCATCATTCACAAAATAGGAAATAAAATAATCACACCACATAGGGTTCATGCATTGATTTGGTACATGTATATTGTAAGATAAGGTAACAAAATGTTCTTCACGAATTATTTTGGAAAATCCCTTTACATCAAACACTGCTGAGAAACAAGATATAATTTTTGGACATAAAACAATTCTACATATCTTGTGCTGTTATTAATAGATTATTTTCAAAGTACATAGGGCATGATTTTGATCTTCTTTGATCTTGCTTTCTTTTAGTAAGCCTTGTGACTTATGCTTCACTGTATTACAATAAAGCGATAGAAGACTTAATCTGTGTCTACATGGCCTCACCTAGGCACATCAACCTATGAGAGTCAGGGTTGTTAATAAGGTTGAAAGTAGATAGCAAATGGAGAATGGTAGGTGGCAAAATTAACATAGATGAGATTTCAAAAATAAAAACTAGGAATTCTTCAGTGTGAGTGAGTAAGTTTAATTTGTGAATCATTTCATTAAATAGTAAATTACAATTTTCCACGCAGATTACTTTTAATAGATTCTGGGATCATGTCTACATAAAACTTATGGTCCTTTAGCGATCCCAGCACACCAGTTTTATTCACATAGCTATCTGCTTTAGGATCATATGTGACATGCTCTCCACACACGTCTGTCAGAGTACCGCCTACTGACTCAAGGAGAGCCTCACATGCACAGGTATCCCAACGTTTGCACCCTGGGCTAGCAAACACATAGGCATCAGCAGTCCCTTCAAGCAGCAGCAACACTTTATAACCTGCTCCACCAGCCTTTAATATCTTGTCAGGTTTCATTGCTTCTATTGCTTCCATTACCAACCCATTGGAGTGAGAGCGAGTTGTGGTGATGACACATCGTCCTGGGGGAGGGGGGATGTGGGTAAAACCAAAGGTGCCAAGACCTCTTACACCCCACATAGTCCTTCCAAGTTTAATTCCTTGGGTTTCATTTTCATGACCATAAAATGGCTGGTGGATGACTCCTGCTATAGGCGTGCCATTTAATGAAATA